CCCTCCCCCCCCCCCTCCCAAAAAAAAACCGACAACACACAGACGATACTATTCCATTTCGAGGGCGGTTTCAAGGTCCTTTTGCCAGGGCTGTAGATCTTGGGATGTGATCACTTTGGGCAAAGCAAGGCCTGCCACAGCAGCTCCTCTTGCACAACAGCGCAGGCCGCAGGATGCCGCAGGTAGAAAGTTTGAAGCAAGTCATAACAAGCACGCTCCACGAGGCGGCCAGCCCGCCAAAACGCAAAAGGGTGTTTGGAAAGGGGCTTGCCGAAAGGTCTGTCGGGTCTTCGTCTGGGATTCCTGCAATGAAGCTCAGAGTTTGACCTACATGCTTGGCGAATTCGTCCGGCATGGCAACAGATCGGTAGCTCTGCCACAATTTTCGTTGATGGAACTGTTCGGTGCCCAGTCATTCTGCTGCTGCCAAAGACCACACCTGACTGTGCATCAGAAAAGCTGAGAACAACACAAGAGGGTCTCACCGGCAGTGCGACAGAACATGAAGAATATTGAAGAAAAAATGTTGCCCAGGCCATTGGCGACGGAGGTGCGCCAGGGCAGCGTCACTGTTTACTACTGTTTGGTTGGTTGTGTCCGCGGCGCGCAGCAAGCAAGGACAGGTTGCGACACCAAGAGGCCAAAGCGTGCTTGCAACATTGCGTTGCCCCGTGCTTGCAGCCCTTGCGTTTCTGGCAGGAGCGACACAGAGGACATCCTGCTGTGCAGCCGTGACACAGTGACGTGGGGTGTTTTCCGGCTAGTGATGCTTTCAGGACACAAGCGGCGGAAGGCGGGAGAATCGGGAGACAATGAGGAAATTCGGGAAATGCCCGAATCGTTTGTTCAGGAGCGAGCTCCTTCAGAAGGCCGCCCGCCGCGGCCGCCTCGGGATTGGTCAGGAGCGGCTCCTTCCAACACGCCGGGGACGCCGGGGCCGCCATCAGCCTGGCTCGGGGCGGCGCCAGAGAGGAGGTAACAGTAACAATGTGACAGGCAAGTTCGCTGATTTGCCAGCTCTGCTCTGTGCACCAGGTAGCAGCAGACTGAAGCGGAGGGGCAGTGACAATCTGAGGCAGAGGCCGGTGTGCAGATGTGCAGCCTGCTTGCGCTTGAGAAGCCAGGCTGAAGCAGAGCTGCCCATGCAACATGGTCCAAAGTGCTCAAAGCAAAAGCGCTTTTGCCACAGCCACAGACCATTTCCAAAATGGATCCAGTCGGCCTGCAATGCCCGCAGACGCCATGTCATCCAGCACGTCATAGCAGCTACCGTGTGTGGGGAAAACTGCTTGATCCGCAATGCACTGCCACGTGAAGGCAGAAGCATGCTCGGCATTAATCTGTGCAATACAAACTGCTTTGTTGCCAATTCATGCGGTCCTGTTGGATCAAGCTTGGCTGTCGAGCTGAAACATGCACGGGGCTGTCTTGTAGTGGGGTCAGACTGCTGGATATTATCCAAGTTGATCTGTCTTGGTATCAAGATCAACGTATGGTGGTGCCTTCTGTGTATGTTCTAATAGGGAATACATGGGACTACCTCGAATCTGGCCATAAAAGCTTGCAGACCAGAAGCATGCCAGACGCGTGCTGGGTTCAGCCCAAGCGCAGCAACTGTTTCAACACATGCTCGTGTGCATTAGGCCCCCTGTTGGCCATGATTTGGAACTGCTGCTACATCCCTAAACGCAAGAAGCATGGTTTTTCTGTGCCCAAGTTGGTCGAAGTCGGCTATGAAGTTCACACTTCCTCCTCGCCGCTGAGTACTGCGGCGATCTGCGGCATGCTGTCTGTCGGCATGAGCCGGTAGCCTCTCCAATCGCGACATTTGGGATGAAGACAGATCTGCCGGGTGCCAGCCGCCTGGTGCAATCATGTTGCTCGGCCCTTCGAATGTTTTGCGTTTTTGAGAAGAACTGACGGCAGGTGGGCGTGGGTATGGTTGAAAATGATGCATGTTGTCCCAACTAAAGACATCAGCCACAGAACCAGACACAAGCTCACATGCAGCATTTCGACGTATTGAAGGCTTTCTCTCTAGGGCTACTACAGTGCTCTGAAAGAAACTCCTCGGGCTCACAAACCATGCAGGAGGTTGAGGGCACAAAGGGCTTGCCAAACCATTGCGGGAGATTGGCTGAGAAAAGCCCAGCAAATCCATAGTGACTAAGGGACAGTCCATGGGCTTCGCTTGCGATGGCCCTGCCCCAGCATGAATGAATTTAAGGCGTGTAGCATACTTTGCTAGACAGACAGGATGCGAAGATACCTTGAAACTCCTGAGCCCGTGACGTGCAAGCGTGCTGGTTATTGGAGCTCGTCGGACCCCTTACGCGCAGTGCAGACATCAAAAGTCCGAGGGCTTCAAAAACTTTAAACTCTGACTGCCAGGAGCAAAAGGAGGGCTATACATGAATCTAAACCCAAAACCATAACTCAGGGAATTCTTCGGCTGGAGCCTTCTTTGAGCGCTCCGCAGACACGTACGCAGATCTCGTGAGCTGGGAACACTGTTTAGGGGTTAGAGTTTGGGTGTGGAGGGTTTGAGGAGCCTGGACTCCAAACTACTCGTAGTCCTTGTGCTTAGGCTTCTCAACTTCGCGATGCTTCGCCAATTGCGAATCTGTACGCCCTCGGGTTTCATAGTGGGGTGGTCTGGTTCCCGGGCAAACTAGGGTTCCCATTTGAGGTTCTCATTCTGGTCTTGATTTTCGGGATGCTACTATTGCATTGGAGTCCAGTTTTTGGATCCTTGTCTGTAGAACCTCACAAAAATCAGCGCAAGTTATACACCCCCCCCCCCCGTAATTGCTCCCCCTGCCATAAGGCCTTAGGGGCCTTAGCGCCACGAATGGACCTGCTATTTGATAGTGCTGTTGCATGTCCTTCACGAGGGATTTCCTTCTTTCGCTTCCTATCCTTCGCCTTCATATCTTCTCTCCGTTCTTTGCATTTCCTTCCGTCTGCTAGCAGTTTAAATACTTTGTTCAAGAAGTGTTTCATTTTCTTTGCCAACTTTTATCCAGAATGCTCACAGTTTATGGCAGCTTGAAGGGTGATTCTGGTCATCAGTAGAGATGGAATGCCCTCAATGTTTTATAAGATATCCTATGGAAGGCAAGGTCCTCGACCTGCTCTGCCAAGGATGATAAAGACCACTAAGGCTCGGGCAGGAGATATGGTGCACAACTCAGGTAGGTTGTCAAAACTTGCGACAACATAACAAGCGGCCTCCTTCAAGATGTGCGCTGTCTAAAAGAAGAGCTCATCACTGTGCAAGTGTACTCACATCAAGGGGACCAAGTTGTCCAGAATTGTCCAGGAGTCCGACTCGATCCATGTGTTTGAGGCAGACACACAGCATCCGGATGATTCCTTGGAAGCAGTTTCGGCTATTGTGGTTTGGAAAGGAGGACCTGGTAGATGCATGTCCAGAGTCTGGGCCATTCTTAGCAGCGTCTCATCAATGAACCAGGAGTCGTGAAGAAACGATTCAGGATGACATCCAACAGCAAGAAGTCTGATGGCACGTGGGCAAAGTGAAGCTGGAAAAGCGCAAACTGCTTGCATGCATCATACACGCATGCGGCTCACAACGTGAGGAGCCGGTGTAGGGTTTAGGGATGGTTCAAGGCACGGCTTTCCAAAGCCCTGAGGCTAGCAGAAGGTGCAGATTTCCTCCTGTCCCAACGTGCCCAGAGGTGTCCCGATGAACATACTGTGGTAGCTGCTCTTCATCTTCCTGGCTTAAGGAGAGACAGATGAAGAAAGCTTATGTAAGGATGTGGGGTTGACAACAGGCACCAACATGGTTCGAGTCTCAGCATTCTGATGATTACCTGGTTTTCAAACTACAGCTGGTGGCCCAGCACTTGCACATGCTATGCCAGATGCAGCTTGGTGGGTTCCTATCTGTCCGCCCCCGAGGGGCAGGTAACCAGGTGCGAACATGTCTTATACTGGTAGTATTTGTCAAGCTTCAACTGGTACCTCATGGTCTCAGAATCTAACATGAGGGTGCTTGCACCCCATCTCTAGGACTACGGCCTGGATAGCAAACAGGGATGTACCTGGAACATCTGAAAGCCTACGTAGTGGAATGCAAACGAAACGGGACGGGGGGATTCAGGTCAGGGCAGCTATCAGGGTGCATGCACACATCTCTGGCTCAAGCTTGCTGCTTCCAAAGTAGCAGCACAATAGTAGTTGCGCGCCAGACCTGGCGCATAAATTCCCTTTGCAATGAAGCAATTCCGTACATTTCAACTGGTCTATTTTCTCGTGCCCTATATGCTAGCGATGAAAACTGCCACTTGGCTTTGTTTTTGGAGTATCCTCTGTTTTGCTTTAAGTTAGCATAGTGTGTCAGTCAGTGGCGTCTGGGCGAGGACTTGTCCCGATCCATCCCGATCAACGACACTGCCAAGCAGGGTATGGAGAACATCCTCTCGAAGAATGCCGTCCGGGGCTCTGCGGGTCTTGTCTGCATGTTGCTTCGTGGCAGGCGGGTTTGTCCAGGTCGACGACATCCTAGAAGCCGAAGGCTTGCCCGACCCGGAGAACAAGTCGAAACAGGAGGAGGGCATGGAGGGCATGGGCGACCTCGGCCGGAACTTGGAGTTCATGATGATGAAGATCGCCCAGCTGGACTTTTTTTGCGGGGAGGGAGTGCTTCATTTCAAGAAGCATGCGCCTCAGTCACTGTCGGAGCCACCTGCCCATCCGCACTTTGCCAGGAGACGGTTATGGAGCTCCAGCAGCTGCAGATCAAAGAGATGAACGAGTGGAGAAAAGCGCACATGACCAACGAGCACAACGCTCCTCCTCAGCAGCCTTCCTCAGTCCAGGAGGCAAGCGAGTACTCGCTGGCCACTGACACTGGAATCAACGATCACTTAGATTCTATTCGCATTTGCCGGACCACATTAGTACAGACCGCGTTAGGGGTTACATGCAGAGCATGGCAGAGCAGAGGACGCAGTGAAATGCCTAGCGGATGACATTCTCCCTGCAGGTGCAGCTGGCAGCAAAGGCCAAAGTCCGTCAGGCGCAGGACACCCTGAAGGGCGTCCTCCGTAAGCACCAAAAGCAGCCGGGTTCTGGAGTATTGCATTTTATACTTTGCAAGGCCTTCTTCCGTCTTGTTCCCTTTATGATTTCAACACAGCGGTATGTTTTCCCTTTCCTGAGCCATTCCAGATCCTAGGCAGCTGGAGACGCGCAGCTTCGCCACCAAGGCCCATCAGCCGCCGCGGGCGCAAAAACAGACCCTGCAGCGGCAGGCATCGCCAAGGAACTCAACAGAGGCCCAGAGTGCCCAATTACCCAATGTTCAGTTCCGGACATATAGCGACCATACACGTGTATGTGCAATATACGAGCACATAATTGCTAAGTCTCAAGGGGTTTGGAGGACCCTAACCTTCAACCCTAAGCTTTAAGCTATGTTCTAGTATATGCTTATGCCTAGAGATTTATAACTAGGTATACATTGACTTGGACACTGTGGGAGGCTCAGGTGCCAGGCGGAGCCGGGCAAGCTCTGCTGCAGCGCTCCGAGGAGCAAGGGGAGGAGGAGCGGTCCTTGGACGCCGCTTGGGCGCGGAGTGTTCGGGTTTAGGGTGTAGGGTTTACGGTATAGGCTTTTGGGTTAAAGGTTCGGGCGCAAAGAAGAGCAGATCTTCCCTTTTGTCTCACAAGGGCTTCAAAGATCAAGAGATTTCAGTTTGGGTTTGAGGTAAAGGGTATACGGGTTCATTAGGACAGATATTAGTTTGGTCTACGTAGTATTGTTTTTTCTGTCTCTAAGTCTGAGCTCCTATTGTAGCATCGAGCAATAGCACAAAGAGTTCTGGGCAACTCGGAGAGATTTGGTGCTCATAATTGAGTGTGCAGTCCGACTGATGATGGTACCCCCGGACTCACACAGCCAGTTTTGTCTTGAAAGCACACTATGTAAATCCTATAAACCCTAAACCGTCACCGTAAGCCCATCAATTGAGCCTAGCAGTACTTGTAGCTTCTAGAGACGAATACAGAGGGGAGTGAGAGGGGACCCTGGCTGGTGTGAGCTAGCCCAGGCGACCGTCAGCTCCAAGTTTGTCGGCACCATCACCGGAGGCATCACCTCAGGCACAGGGACATCTACAACTGGTCAAACAAGGTCAAAGTATAATGGTTTCAGACACGCTCGCGCAGTTGCCAGTGGGCGTAGTATGTGCTCACGCCCGCGTTGGCAGCTGTGGACAAAACACTGATTTTACTGTAGGATTTGTGTTCGACATATGTCATTTTTGTCTCATAAAACCAGGTCTGTTTCGCTGGTTTGACACTGCGGGTAGTTTAGAGCCATGTGTTCGACCGAAACGCGCTTCCGCCTCCATGACTTCCAGTAGTCCAAGCCGCGCCCCATTCGTCCAGGGTCATGAGGAGTTCTGAATTTTCATCATCACCTCATTAGTACGCACCATTAGTCCTAGCTCCGCCCCATTAGTCCAAGGTTTGCCCCATGAGTCCAGGCTGTGCCCCATCCGTCCACTGATTTGAGGGGTTCTGATTTTATCATCGCCTCATTAGTCCAGCTACGCGCCATTAGTCCAAGCTAGGCCCCACTAGCCCAGGCATGTCAAACCCTAAATCCCCAACACCCTCAACCCTAACACGACGCCTAAAACATGTGTAAGGAGTCGCAGCGCGCAAAACACGGCCAGCAGATGCGACGCATTGCCCACAATAAACGGTCTGAAAAAGAAAACACGAAGACCGCCCCGTGCACAAAGACGTTCAACATCAAAAGTCAGAATACTGGCAGACATGGTACGAAAAACACATTTGTCTATCTTTGGCATCTCGGCCGCATAAAAAAATGCATTCTCGTTTTTCGCGCAGACACTGGCAGGCGTGGGACAAAGTCTACAATACATATGTTTTTCGCCCATGGCCGCTAACGCTGGCGTAACCTAGCATGTCAAACATGACTTTGATTCAGGATACCAAAACATTGTAGTTGGCCCAGGTAACCCCAACCATAAGGTAACAAGGTACCAAAATGTGAGGCGCACGCATTTATGATATGTGGAAATATGTGTATATATATATATATATACACATATGTGTCTTTATATGTGTGAGCATTTTATCCCCCATTGACCCATATGGTTTCCCTTGTGTGAAATCTTAGCTCGCACCTTTTGTTTTATTCTGCTCCAACATGCTGCGCTGCCCCCAAAAGCAACTCCTGAACTGCCTTCGAAAAGATTGAAAATATCCCACAGAATCCTTTGGATGGTTTTTTTCAAGGACAGTTCAGCAAGTGCTGTACTGCCCGAAAACCTATTCTTTTGTAACAGGGCTCCTGAAAAGTTTGCTCGGATTTTTTTTTCTGGAGTTAAGGGACTGTACAGAACTTTCGTGTTTTGGGAATTTTTCTCAAGAGACCGTATCAGGTTTTCCTAGTACCACATTGTCCAGTTCTTGTAGAACAAATTTTGAATATGGAAAGCCACCCCACAACACAACGATATACAGAACTCATAGTAGTAGCAAGACCACAAGTAGCAACATTAATTATAGCATCGCTAATGATACTAGTTACTGGACCACTGCACCAACAGCAAAATGGTCCTGGTTATACTCGGAGCCACCAGGTTACTGGGGGTTTCATAATGTTTGAAATCGAAATTTTGACGTTACTTCAACTAGGGGTCCGGATGTAGCCGCGTATGCATATGTGCAAGTATATGTACTTGTATACGCATGTACGCATGTACCATGTATGTATTTATGTATGGAAGCATGTATGTATGTATCTATGTATAGCTCATGTATGGTGTACATTTTTGTACGTACCTTTGACTCTGGGGATCCATTGGGTAAGCTGCTTTACTTGGAGGTCTGCGGTTTTGTGTGTTTTGTATGATGGCACGCCCATACCAAGATGATTGTTTCTTTGCTATTGAAATCAGAGTTCCCTATCCAGGTACCGGAATGATCGGCGATGCGCTGGGGGACGCCTACGAACATGCCACGGACCGTTCTTGGTTGCTCAATCCCTAACCCTGAAAAAGACAGCTCAAACACTATATATGCAGAATATTTGTTAGTAGGGGCTTGGGGGTTGCTATTTCTCATCTCGCCCTCAGTACTTAGACGTAGCTTCCACCATGCAAAATGCCAGTCGTGTGTGTGTCTGCAAAATGAGGACCAAAGAAGCCTCAACTAAAGCTTTGCAAAAAGTCGTATTGTGGGGTATGTATGGGTATGTAATGTACCTGTTTTCAAGTTGCCATCGGAGGTTGAGGGTACTGGTGCCAAAATGTTTTTGTAGCTGCTGATCCATTCCGGAATGAGGTAGCTATACTCGGGAGCGCATCGCAACCTAGAAGTGTAGGGAGAAATCCAGACACTCCTACTTGACGACCTCAGCCTTGTAGGACATTCAGAGAATACCCTTTTGGAGTAGCGGCGCTATGGTGGCAAGAGGCACGGGCACGGCCACGGGCACCCGGGCTCACGGGCTCACGAACACCAGGCTCACGGGCACTCCACGGGCACCTCATAGGCTCACCGTTCGTAATAGTAGTAGTAGTAGTAGTAGTAGTAGGTCCCCGGCGGAGAAAAAAACCAAGAAACACAAACACAATGATATCATACGATGGTATCATAAGGTTTCCCCACTGGGCACCAATAACATCATGATGATAATGATAGCGTGCCCCGAATAGAAACAATAGGATCATGATGATAATGGCTTTATGACCCAAATTGATGCAATAATACCATGATGATAATGACAATACAACCCACATAGAGTCCATAAAGCCTTGATAGTAGTGACAGTATAAGCACTTGCACTTGCACTTGCATATCCGCATGAGTCCGCAGTGAGACTCGTGTCGTTGCCCAGCACACTGTGGTGCCGCACGCTCATGGCGTGGAGAGTAGGTTCAATATCAACATCAAAACTCAGCTTCACTGGCAAGCCCTATAACAAGCTCGCAGCAAGCAAGAATCAAGTGACGCGCTGGAAGCAGCATCACTCAAAGTTACTTTCAAACACATCTGCGACCTAGCAATAGCTGGGGATTGGCCACGGGGGTACTCAGTTCAGAGGTCCCCGTTTTCAGCACCGCAAATCATGAATGAGACTGCCGCGCAATCTGTCGAGCAAGTGGATTAGCTGGTGCAGCTCCTGTCTTGTACTCGCCTCCATCACATTTCACGAGGTCTTGCATGACTGCAATGGCCTCACTCCACTCGGCTTGACGAGCCAGTTGCGGCCTCAACTTGAGCAGTACCTGCTGATCCCGAGTTTCCTTGGCCACGGCTAACTGCACGCTCCCCTCCATGTCGCCCAGTGTTTGCATGTTCTTGTGGAAGGGTTCGAACTTCAGCAGCTGCTGGCAACGTGTTGGGTCGGACAGAAGAAACTGAGCAACTGCCCCTGCTACTGCCCAGCGTGGCGGTCCCAGCGGGTGAGCTCCTTTCTCTGGAAGACTGGCTTTCCACTGGCTCATGGCCTTCATGACCTCCACTCCGAGCTTACTCTCCTTCGGCAAGAGGAATGCGTGAATGCTCCAGGCTTGAAGCTCGCGCAGCTCCTGATCGTGCTGTCCGACCAGTTTCATCACGGTTGTGAGTTGAGCCGCGAGCTTCTCCACTTGCTTCTCCACTCCGCTGCCACTCGCTGTGCGAGGTGTTTCCTTGCGCGGGCGCTTGGTCCCCGTTGCCGCTGGCTGCACTGCCTGCAGCCCTTCCATGAAAGAAAGACCGGGCATCTCGCAACCCTGAAGAAGCACCTGGAGCTGGTGTTTGAGCAGCTGGCTGCGAAGCATGATCCTGCCGCGCTTTGGCCCGTGCAGCTTTCACACGTTGTCCCTCAACAGCACCTGCTCTCCCATGGTTGCAAACGTAGGTGCCACAAGAACCCTGCCTCACATGTCTCCGACAGGCAAACAGAGTGGTGAACTCCCTACTGCAAAGAGGACAAGTCATGTTCTGAAGCTCATGTCTGATCGAATGTTGTCTCAGGACGTGCTGTGAAAAACTTTTGTAAGCATGCCACGGCCCAGCAGCACAATGGCCACAAAAAGTGCCAGCAATTAGATCTTCAGCAGTGGGTTTGTAGTCAGCACCTGGTACATTCCCGTCACTCAGCACAATGAGTGATCGAACTTCTTCTGCAGGCGAAGCTACTGATCTCACAGG